GCTATAAATGGACGTGGGTCGAGATATGCATAAACTAACGTTAAAGTTATATTGTTTCAGACATGAAGGCATTCACTTCACTCCTTACCGAAATAAACATGAACGTTAGCATGAATGTTAGCTTCCCAACACCAAGGAAATTCTGTGTTTATAAATAACGTATGCAATAAAGACTTAACCACATTATCCAAACAAAACTAACTTAAATGTGTTTGAACTGTTTCTCTGGACGTTTCACCGCTGTTTTGCCAGTGTCTCGAGCTCTGTCTCATGGCCAGGTTATGTAAAAAATCATATTTTAATTTCTGGTCAACCTTAAATTACAAAAGGGTCCCCTCACGCGGCAGGTAACGTTAACTCGACGGTAACGTTAATCTTAACTACATACACAAGGCAAAGTAACGTCAAATATGAATTGAATATGACCCAACGGATATTTACAATAAGTTATTTAACATTAAACTTACCTGCAAATGTCTGTGCTTCGTCTTCACGAGCGTATTCCAGCTTCTTTGCGTCCTTCAGGTCCATCCTCCATCGACGCCGAGAAGAGCGTCAGGTCAGAACAACAGTGCAACAGCTGGAGATTAACCGTCACACGTAATCAGCTGGCATTATGAATGCACGGCGCGGGCAAAAATCCTATTGGACAACACAAATTCAAATTTGCTGGCTGCTAATGCTAAGTGAAAGTCAATGGACAATGCCCCGCTGTGCAGACCCGCAAGTTTAAAAAAATATCATCTAATGTTTCACAAAATGTAGTTTTAAGAGTATTTCAGGCGAGAATGTAGTTGTTTTAAACTCGAATCGGCAGTTTATTTAAAAAGACAGCGCTTCTTTGACAATGTGCTTCAGTGAAAGCGGACTCTGTCAGCGGGAGCTTTATGATTCTCTCCCCCGCCGACAGCAGCTTTTACTTCGGCCAGTCAATCTCGCATCTACCGCTGGATTCAATCTCCCTCTTGTAGTTAAAACACGATATTTATTACATTTTGTGTATATCTAACGGCCAGTTTTTGGTCTTTTAAATCTATTATTTGTTCTCAGCTGTATTATTTTGGCAGTATTATTCTGTTACGTTTTAAAATTATTTTATTAATTAATTTATTAATGCTACAAGGTTGCACTTTGTCTTTGTTTACCTAGCTGGTTACCTTTAAATCCTATTGTATTCATCTACTTTATAGTTGTATGTCCATTCTAGTAGTTTATTAAATCTTATAATCAAAGAAAGGTCTGTGTATAATTAGCCATTTCACTTTACATTTAGGGGGATTTATGTTAACATTTTCTTAAATCAAAAATATTAATTTATAATATTTATAAGGCCATGTTTTATATAATTAAATAATTTAATTTATAATGTACAGTTTTTTTGTGTGCATTTCTTCCAAATAACCAACAACTCATGACATAAATTAAGGACCAGTTCATACACGTTGACTTGCTCCTTTTTCACACAAGTGATTGTACCTTTCTTTGGGCCTTAAATGGCCCAAACATGGACCCTTTGACAGTTGGGAACATATTTGTACCTTTTTTACCCTTAAATGGTACATATAAGTATCTTAGGGTGCTACTTTGAACCATTGAGGGTACAACTTCACCATTTGTACCCCAAGTGTTCACAAATGTACCCCAACCGTACCCTTTTTTCTGACAGTGTAGCGAACAGAACAGACCTTTTATTCCCGGTTGCTTTGCATATGTCTGCCTGGTCTTGTTGACATATACACGTGACTTATGGAACATGTTAATGCGCGCAGCTGTCAATCAATTCTGTGGGCGGGGGGACCGCACTCTTATGTAAAGTTGCGGTCGGTCTGAAAACCGCTCTAATTGGTCCACCGTTTTTATGTTGTTAAATTGAAAAATAAGGACTCTTTGTGTTTGTATCACCCCAGTATGACGGTCTATACACTATATATACACATATGTTTGTCCAAATAGCTTGAAAAGTAGATTTTTCACCATAGGTGCCCTTTAACATCTAATAAGTTGCATGAAAGTACACATTTTAGCTGAGGAAAGATTATGTTTGAATGTTTTATCCTTCTTTGCAAACCACAGGTCAAGAGTCATTAAAGATGCATTAAGACTCCAGAAAGACACTCGAAACCTTCCTGTGCTCAGAATGCTGAACATTTACGCTGACAGGAAGAAGCTAGTGGGAGCAACCTGATACAGCGATGATGAGATGCTACTTTGCACTGATAAAAATATGTGCTTTATTTTCATACCAAGCATATAATTATAAACTCTTCCAGCTCAGCCTTTAATGAATAAGGGAGGAAGGGTGAAAAGCTCAGAGAGGAGCATCAAATGCTGGATCCACACAGAGCTTCCCACACATGCAGGCTTTTCCAGAGCGTCATACTCCCGATCCTGAAACTTCAGCAAATCACATAGCTGCGCCGTGACATGCTAATGACCTCATCCTGCCCACAGCCAATGATCTCATCCCTCTTGGTGTAGCCCGCCTACTTCTGACGCCTTTGCTGCCATTGCCTCAGGTCAGTGGGATTTCTAGCAATTACTGCTCTTTCTTTTAGCGTTTCTGCATTTTATTCAAGCTTTTTTTTTAGCTTATTGTGATTCATTCCTTTATTCCTTCATTTATTCATTCACTCATTCATTCATTTCTTCATTTGTTTATTAATGCATTTGTTATTTCATACATTTTTTTTTATTCAGTAATTTGGTGACTCATTCATTCGGTTTGTAGTTTATTAATTTGTTCGTTCATTAATTAATCGATTCATTTATTCATTTGTTCATTTGTTAATGCATTTGTTATTCCATGTTTTTTTTGTTAATTCAGTAATTTGTTAACTCATTCATTTGGTCTGTAATTCATTAATTTGTTCATTCATTCATTCATTCATTCATTCATTCAATTCTTCATTTGTTAATTAATGCATTTGTTATTTCATTCATTTTTTCGTTAATTCAAACATTTCTTAATTCATTCATTCGGTCTGTAATTCATTCATTTGTTCATTCATTAATAATTTATTCATTCAGTCATTCATTTATTCATTCATTCATTCATTTATTTGTTAATTAATGCATTTGTTATTTCATTCATTTTTTTGTTAATTAAAAAATGTCTTAATTCATTAACTTGGTCTGTAATTCATTTATTTAATAATTCATTCATTTATTCATTCATTTATTTGTATATTAATGCATTTATTATTTCATTCATATTTTTCATTAATTCAAAAATGTCTTAATTCATTCATCCGGTCTGTAATTTATTCATTCATTCATTCATTCATTCATTCATTCATTCATTCATTCATTCATTCATTCATTCATCCATTAATTCATTCATTCATTCATTCATTCATTCATTCATTTATTCATTCATTCATTCATTCATTCTTCATTCTTTCATTCATTTATTTGTTAATTAATGCATTTGTTATGTCATTATTTTATTTTATTTTTTTTTTTTTGTTAATTAAAAATGTCTTAATTCATTCATTCGGTCTGTAATTAATTCATTTGTTTGTTTATTAATAATTTATTAATTAATTCATTCATTCGTTTGTTAATTAATGCATCTGTTATTTCATTCATTTTCTTCGTTAATTCAATCATTTCTTAATTCATTAATTCGGTCTGTAATTAATTCATTTGTTTATTAATTCATTCATTTGTTCATTCA